TCCAATACCCCAGATAATCAAGGCATGTCTGATGAAATTCACACTTTGACAGCTTTGCATACTGTTTGGCTTTTAACAGTCTCTTTAGCACCTCACAGACCAATTCGATGTGTTCTTCCATGGTTTCGGTGTAAATAAGGATGTCATCAAGATAGAACAAAACCCCCTTGTATAAATGATCATGGAACACTTGATTTATCAATTGCATAAACACAGCTGGGGTTCCCTGTAGTCCAAAAGGCATCATTTTAAATTGGAAGCTCCCGAAAGGGCAATTAAAGGCTGTTTTCCACTCATCCCCCTCCTTAATCCGGATCCAGTAATAAGCCTCTCTTAAATCCAGCTTGGTAAAAACTTTTCCTTTAGCCAGGTGGGCTAACATGTCCTTCATCAGGGAGAGGGGGTAGATATTTTCTATACTGACCACGTTTAACCCTTTAAAATCCACGCATAATCTAAGAGATCCAGCTTTCTTTTCCTTGAATAGCACGAGAGCAGCCACACGTGATATGGCTGACTGAATGAAACCACGCTAAGTTTTTATCAATGTACTCTCTCAGTTCTTTCATCTCTCTGGGCATCATAGAGTACATCCTTGGTTTAGGGAGCTTGGCACTGGGCAGAATTTCAATAGTACAGTACATAGCCCGGTATGGGGGGAAGATGTCACATTCCTTTTCACTAAACGCTTCCACTAAATCACGGTACTCAATGAGGACAAGTTGAATCCCCGGCAGCTTTTCAGCTACAGTCTTTAGGGTTTCATGGGGCTCCCCTTGAATCTCGCTGATGGCCAGTGTCTTTATTTTATCATCAGCGGCAGGTGAGAGGAGTCCTGTTCTCAATCTTAACTTCTGCATTCCCTCCTCCCACCAGATGTTGGGACGCCATTTATCAAGCCATGCTAGTCCCAAAATTATTGCTTCAGTCATCTTCAGAACCACCACAAAATGGATGATTTCCCAATGCTGACCCATTTCCAAATGCACAGGTTCTGTTAGATGTGTGGCATGGATTCCTCCAATGAGGGGCCCGTCAGTTTGCTCAAACCTCATGGGTAGGAGCAGTAGTTTGGCTTGGATGCCCAGTTTGAGTACGGTGGGTAGGTTAATTAAGCATCGAATGCACCCCAAGTCTATTAGGATGTTCAAGCTCATAAAAGCCCGTTTTGGGCACTATTAGCTTAGCAGGAATGGCAAAGGAGGGAATGGGCTGACTCACCATGGGGTCCTCGCCTTCCTCGCTACTGTCAGAAGGTGCCGGCATCTGCTATTGCTCGAATCAGATTTTGGCCTCAAGCTCAGTGGGAGGGGATGCCTCGATGCTCGGGTCCTGATGTGCCCAGTTTTACTTTTCTCTTCCCCTCTGGGAGCTTTTCGCAGCTTTGCAGCAGTGACTGGCATGCTCCTGGGTTGAGAATTAGGAGCTGGGCACTCCATAGCATGGTGGCCCACCTGATTGCACCAGTAACACTTGATAGGAGTCCTAGCTGGTGCTTGGGAGACACTGATGGCCACAGTGGCTTGGAAACATTGGCGAAATGGGTGTTTCTCCTGGATGCGTGGCAGCTTGGGCTCAGTGGTGCTTGACTTTCTTGGGCGGTCCAACTCGATGTCCAGCACCATTGCCATGCTATACCACTCATGCAATAGGTTAGGAAAACCCCGAATGATATAGGCTTGAAACAAGTCATGATCTAGCCCCTGCTTGAAGTAGTTGACCAGTGACCATTCTGGCCACTGCCCCAGCTGATCAGCAACTCTCCTGAATTCACGAACATACTCCTTAGTGGGGAGACCTCTTTGCTTCATGCAGTGGATTTCCTTCTCGGCCAGCAGAGCTTGGGATTCGTCTTCAAAATGTTGCTCCATAAATAGGTTAATATCGTTCAATTCAGGAGCCCCTTCATCATGGAGGTTGGTCACCCAGTTGGCCACTTTTCCCTCTAAATTTACCACCACAGTATTCACCATCATAGCCCCATCCAGGCAGAGGCGTAGCGTGGGGAGTGCAGGGGGGCCCGGCCACACCGGGCGCAACATCTGGGGGGGCGCGCTCGCACTCACAGCTCTCTGCCCCTGCCTGGCTCACTCACTCTCTCTGCAGTGCTGGATGTGCGAATCCGATCCGAGCCGCCGGGTCGCCGACACCGCCCACTGTGGAGGGGGGGTGCCTTGCCCCAGGTGCTGACAACCCACGCTACGCCACTGCATCCAGGTAGGCATAAGTGTAGTGATCTAAATGAGCTTGCACCTGGTTTAGGAAGAAGGTTAACTTCTCGGGATCCCCATCAAACGTGGGCTTGATCAGAGGTGGTTTGAACCTCAGCAAAGCTGCCTGCACCTGCTGCTGGGCTTGGGCAGCTTGCTGGTCCTGGGGACATAGCTGAACCACTCTCCGGACTTCTCTTGGCTGGGCTCTGGGACTGGCATCCCAAGGCCGCAGCAGCAGGCATGGCTGGGATACAGGGCTTGACATCACAGCTGGCTGGGGGATGGGTGAACTGGAATGGGCTCCCGAAGTCAGGCTGGGATTCCAGCAAGGAGGGGAAGAGATGGGTAGTTCTTGGCATTCGCCCCCCCCATGGCACCCACCTCATGGGCAACAGGAATCGTATCCTTTTACCTCCAGTTTGCTGAATATCTCTTTCAGCTGTTTGAGCGAGGGGCTATGGACTGAAGATTGAAACCTACACTCTCCAGAGTCACCCCATCCCATCCACCCCTTTCCTTTCTTGCTATCCACAGATGAAGAACCCTGGGACGATAGCAATAGGAGCTCCTCTCCAGCAGTTACAGAAGTGCTCCTGTGCTGAGGGGCAGCCTCTGCTTGATAGAGGTCAGCCAGGATCATAGCTCCTTCCTGCAGTATCAGTTTCCCAGGTTGAATTAACCTGGCCTTTGGCCAAGCCCCTGCCAGTGACGCCTCCTCGGTGGCTGGAGTGCCAGTTTGTGTGCTCTGACAGCCAGAATTTCGTTGCAGCTAGCAGCGGTTTCACTCTTCTCCTCCATTTTGAATCTTTGCTGAGTCTTTACCGCTATCCCAAAAGTGAGTGGGTAGGTGGTTGAGGTCCAGCATTCCCAGAAAACAAAGTTTTATGAGACTTGGTTTAATGTCATGGTTCTGACAGACAGAGAAGAATAAAGCAGAACTATGAGGCTTGCAAATTCCTCAAAGAACATGTTTATTAATTACAACGTATTGGCATGGTCAAGAGTGAAACCAAGTCTGGATACACAATTTTTCAATACAAAGTTAAATAGCCCACCCATAAAAGCTATGCAAGCAACTATATTCCCCAATATGATTATTTGGTGGGTTTTTTATGCAACGCCCAGTCCCTAATCTCGGGAACAGATGACCTTGGTACCCACGGGACAAAAGATTATTTTGACTAGTGAAGCATCTGGGCAACCCCCCTCCCTCCATTCTACGTGGCAACTAGAATGAGAAGGAAAATGGCTGCAGCCATCTCATTTGTAGAGTTGACACCATCTTTGCCTGCAGCTCGGTGGTGTAGGATTCTGATAACTCCCATTTTGTGTTCCTGTGGGTGGTGAGAATCAAAATATAAATATTGATCTGTGTGTGGGGGTTTTCTGTAAATTTCCTTAGTGTATACTGCAGTCCAGGAAGATTAGACTATTTTCCTTAACATCTTCACATCTTCAAAGAAAAACAAGAAAGTCCAGTTGTGTTGTGAAAAAAGCATCTTTGGGACAGTTAAGAAAAAAGTACTCAAAGGCTGGTCTCTTTCCACCCCTATGCTTTCCCAAGGCCTAGCACATTTTTGTGTATGTAGAAATGTATTATCTCAAAATCATTGTCAGTGCAGGAATATCAGATTTTTCAAGCAGAATCATACATACAATAATGCAGTTTCATCCAAAGTTACAATCCCATTTATTATAATAAAAACTAAATATATATATATAAAAAATTAAAAATGGTCAATATGTCAAGATTACAAAAAATTTAAGAAGCCATTTTGAAAGAAGAAAAATCACACGAATTGTGCTCATTTCTCAGCGCAAAGTGGGTTAGGAAGTAAGAATTTGTCTGTGAAAGATCCCCAAAATGCCTCCTTGAACCTAGCCGGGCTGCAGCATGGGCAGGTTGTAGGAACCTGAACTGGGATGAGTTCACCATTTCGCCATTGGTATATCTTTCATTTGTTTCGGCTGCAGCTTCTGTCAAATCCTGACAGCAAAATCATAGGCTGGGGGGAGTGGGGCTAGGAGAATTAAGAGTCCCGGATGATGGTGGTCAACTATGGAAATTGTAGGACTCCTGTCACCCACCTTCCGTACTGATGGGTCCTTGGTGCTCTGTGAACTTAATTTCTTGCAGACGTTTCATTACTCAAACTAGGTAAAATCATCAGTGACTAGCATAAGTACCTTGGCTTTGTTTTCTTGCAAACGTTTCATTACCTGCTTTTTCCCTAGTTTTCTTGCAGACGTTTCATTATTCAAACTAGATAACATCATCAGTGACTAGTACTGATGAGGTTACCTAGTTTGGGTAATGAAACATCTGCAAGAAAACCACCAAGCTCAGAGAGCACCGAGGACCCCTCATGTCAAATCCTGAGCTACAACTATTCTCCTCTATTGGCATCTTCCGTATTGGATTGTGGAAAGGCGGAGGGGGGGAATGGAGTTACGGGGCTTTCCCAAGGATGACGCGGAGCCCATGTTGGGTCTAAGGGGAGGGACGGAGGAAAAGACTGAAAAGCCAAGCTACGGTATCTCCCCGCAGGGATTGCAATGGGCCATTTAGCAGCCCCGGATAAAAGGAAGGGGGGGAAAGGCCAGCGGTTGCATTTACTGTTTCCAAAGCGGAGGAAAACAGGGAGCGGCCAAATGGGTAACTGGCGATGAGTCCATCAGGCGCAGTTCCGGAACCGAGGCTCGCGCTGATTGGTGCTTTCCGAACGAGGGGCGGGGATAATCGGGAATTTCCTCAAAAATATCGGAGTTTCGCTTTCTGCTGGGTTTTAATGAAAGAGGAAAAAGCGAAGGTCTCCGGATCTTTTAAGGTAGGCAAAATTGTCTTGCGTATCGGAGCGCTTTCTTGCATCTTTCCCACGACTACCTGTTTTTACAGGAAAAACAAAATAGTGCAAGCGTGCCTTCCCGATACGTTACTTTCGCTATCTCCAGTTCTGGATTTTTTGAGAATCGTCTCCCCCAAAAAAGCCCCCCTCTTTTTTCTCCGACTCCGCCCGTTTACATTGAAGTCTCCCAAGGAAGCAAGCTACCGTACTTCTATGCCCTTAATCCACCTAACCTTGTATTTCTATTTCTCTGTTCTTGGTCAATAACCTGTTTCCCTAATCAAATATAGTTTCCAACATTCTGGCTCTTCCTAGTGAACTAAGGAAACAGCCAGGTACGTACGCATACCTTCCAGTAAGCATTGACTTCTAGTCGCTATCTGCTGTTACCTCTTATATCGGATTATCCAGAAAAGTCGTGCCATGTAGCAGGAAGTGATAGTGGTTATATCTATTTGCACTTATTTTGAAATCTGTTCCCCTAAAGAAGAGACGAAAATATTTTCTCTCAAATTCTTCTTATGCTAGTGGGATGCTGTAACCGTTAGCTTATCACTGCATAGAAATAGCTAAGGTGTTGTTTATTTATGATTTTTATGATTTGGATTATGTCCAATCTCAGTGGCATTAACAGAACAGAAAAACGATTTCACTGCAGTAATGGATTCTGCTGAAGAAAACAAAGTTTTGGCTGGCTTCAGCCGCAGGATATCTTTCTCTGGATGAATTCACAAACTGAATTAAACTACAATATGGCTTTATTTTGGTTTATCATGATGCACACAGGATCAGTAAATAACCCATGATGTTATAGACATAAACTAGACCCTCAAAGGTTGTCCTACAATTTGACTATTCAATTTTCTCTTCTGGTTTCCTGATTGTAGATGTGCCATAATGAACTGTGCAAACAGGGAAACATGGTTATTCCTGGTTTGTGTTGTAGCCCATCGAACCTCTAATTCACAGAGATGCAAGATAACAATGGCTAAAAATGAAAGAATTCACACCAGAAATTGGCCAGACAAGCCATAAAGACTTTGCTTAGGTGAAACAGTCCCTGTGCCATGTCAGAAAATCATTTTTTTTCAGTTGAAATGATTTATATATGATGTGGGAATATATCTATGGAGATTCTCAGTCATCCATGTCATAGTTGTCCCAAAGATACTTTTTCACAAAGATGCTTTTTCATGTTTTTCTTTGAAGACATTTTGCTTCTCATCCAAGAAGCTTCTTCAGCTCTGTGGGAATATACTGTTCTCTTAAAATAAAAAGGATAATATTATTTGTCTTCCACAGTTGGTGTGCCTTGCTTCTCCTTCATAAAGCATCAATTATGCATCGATGTGGCCTTCTCACATCCTTTAAGGTCCCAGGTAAACTGAGTATCTGATTGCTAGTTAATGTTGAGTAAAATGGCAAGTTGCATATGACTTAAAAAAGAAGGTATGGTGTCTTTAAACTTATGGTTTTAATTCTATAGCTTTGCAGATTATTTGTATACTCTGTCCTTGAAGAATATCTGAAAGCTTCAGATGCCGCAAAATGCAACAGGGTAGACAGCTTTGTGTGCCTCAAGAACTGCACAAATTACACCTCTACTCTGTGAGCTGCATTGGTTGCCAGTTTGCTTCCTGATCCAATTCAAGATGCCGGCTCTCCCCAATTACATTTAGCAGAAACGGCATGCTGTGGGTCCAGTCAGCCAATGATCTTTGTTTAGCAGTGAAGGACAAATACTTGGTATGCCTTGGTATGCATATTTTTTATGAGATAAACTGAGACAGGAAGATCATTTAATTATAATTTATCAGAATATTCAGACAAAAGGGATTCCTCTCATTCAAAGAGGGAACCCAGATCTTTATCTTACATTCCATTTTATAGTTAACACAACAAAGAAAATGCAAGAGTAGAGTTGATTAGACAGGATAAAAGTAATCTTTTTTTTTTGCACAGTAAATCAGCTACATGTACCGGTAGTCAGACATGTTACATGTATGTCCATTTAAATGAGATCTGATGTCAGAAGGGGTGTAAAATTGAAGAAGTTAACAAGAAAAAGATTGTTTGAAGTTCAGGAAGAGACAAACCAGACATCAGTTAGCACTAATGAACTTTTTCTTATCAGGAGATAATCTCAGGCCCTCCCTTCTTCCATAGTTTATCTTTTCAGTTTAGGAATGTTAGAAGCTATCAATCAATGCATACAGTCATATGATAAAACCTTTTCCTATATTCCAGCCTGTAATGAGCATTAACACCATTTTAAAGGAGAGAAAAATAATACAAAGTAACTGTTAATTAACATATTGCAAAGTCCATATCACATGCTCCTCAGCAGGGTCCAGGAAGAGAGCCTTTTTATTGTGACACCCATCCTTTGGAACAACATTCCCCTAAGACAGCGGTTCTCAACCTGTGGGTCGCGACCCCTTTGGGGGTCGAACGACCCTTTCACAGGGGTCACCTAAGATCATCGGAAAACACATATTTTTGATGGTCTTAGGCTTTCAACTCCCCCTAAAATTCTTCATTCAGGCAGGCTTCCAGAGTTCGGCCGGCAGGATGCAGGTAACCCCTCCCCCCTGTCCTGCCGCCTCCCACGGCACCGCACCGCTCCACGTCCCGCACCTCAAGCCTCCGTGGCACAGAACTGCTGGCGTCCCCAATGGCCGCTGACGTGCTCCCTGCCACCGGCGACCATGCAAGCCCTGGCAATTGCTCCAGCCGAAGAAGTGGGTGGCTGGGAGACCGCCACGGCACCGATCTTCTGCGCCCATCAGCTGGCGACCCCCTGAATGTGCGCTTGTCAGCTGGGAGGTCTGGCAACAGAGCCGGCCGGCCTGGAGGGCGATGGGGAGGTGGCGGCTCGGGCAGGTTCCCGCCTGCCCGCGAATGTCGGGCCCACAGGGCTCGACACAGAGTCGACGGTCCAACATAACTTCCCCCCCCTCAAGCGACAACAGGAGGTTGCAGACAACTAAGTCAGCTGGTGCAGGAAGCCTTGGAATGGCCAGTCCAGGGTGCCTGGTTGCAGTGCTGGATGTCTTTTGCTCCTCCTAGAAGCCAGTGGCAAGAGAAAGAAGTCGTTCAAACTTCAAGTTAGCTACTGGACGCCTATTCACACTTTTTTCTCTTTTTTTTTTTTTTTTTTTTTTTTTNAGAGGGAGAGAGAAAGAAAAGGAGAGGGAGGGAGAGGGAGAGAAGGGGAGAGAGAAAGAAAGGGAGAGAGAAAGAAAGAGGGAGAAAGAAATAGGGGGAGAGAGGGAGAGAGAAAGAGAGGGGGAGAGGGAGAAAGAGAAAGAAAGAGGGAGACAGAGAGAGAGGGAGAGAGAAAGAAAGAAAGGGAGACAGAGATTAAATTAGTAGCATGGTTGTTAAGTGAATCTGGTTTCCCCCATTAAGGTTGCTTGTCAGAAGGTTGCAAAAGGCGATCACATGACCCTGGAACAATGTGACCATCATAAATATGAATCAGTTGCCAAGCATCAAAATGTAAATCACATGACCCTGGGGATGCTGCAACGGTCATAAGTGTGAAAAATGGTCATAAGTCAAGGATTACCTGTACTTTATCACTTTTTTCCATTTGTAACAATGAAAATACATCCTGCATATCAGATATATACATGACAATTCATAACAGTAGCAAAATTACAGTTATGAAATAGCAACAAAAATAATTTTATGGTTGGGGGTCACCACAACATGAGGAACTGTATTAAAGGGTCGCGGCATTAGGAAGGTTGAGAACCACTGCCCTAAGATGATTCTAGTCCCATCCTACAGGCCTTCCAAAAGACCCTCAAAACCTGAATATGCATCAAGCTTGTGAATCCCATGTAAGTGTAGAACCCCTTAAATGGCTGCACTGTATATAAGTTTAGAAGGTGTTCTCCCTGCCTTTTTGTTGTTGTAGTTTTTGCATGTTTTAATTGGTTTTGATTATTGAATTTTGTGATTGTTCATTTTTTTAATTACATATGCTGCCCAGAGTCACACATGTGAGATGGGTGGCCATATACATTAATAATCTGGGGATTACAGATTTTGGGGTAAGAGCATCTTGTCAGCATTTTTGATAGTTAACTTTCAGCACAGGGTTTTCTGCTCTGGGCCAGGCCAGATACTGAGTTAATTATCCTCTTTTTGTTATTTCCACATCTCAGTGCCTCTGAAAAGCATTTCTGTGGATGTCATTATACGAGGTTTCGTGGCTGACGTAGTATCAGAACTTCAGTATCAGAATAAGGAAAACAATCCAGTGGAGGTCACCTTTGTCTTCCCTCTGGATGATGAAGCTGCAGTTTATGCCTTTGAGGGTCTGATCGGTGGGACACGGATTGAGGCCGAGATCCGAGAGAAGAAGCAGGTATATAGAAGACTAAAACATTTCAGAATACAAGGGTATAGTTTTGGGAAGGCATAAGAGGCTATATATCACTGCACTCAGATTGTCTGAAGAAATCTGCACATCACAATCTGCTATGCTAAACAGACTTAAATACATTTCCTTCGGGTTTGATGTATTTTCTTGACGACATTTGTTCCTCTACCATAGTGAAAAGTTAAGTGGTGGTAGGAACAGTGTAACTGCCGAAACATGAGAAAGTGTTTTTCATTTGAAAGGAATACTATCTGGAAAGGTTACTGGTGTGTAAGTGCATGCAGTCTTCTTGAGAACATTATGAAAGTGAATTGCCATTGCTAGCTGGGATTTTTTTAAAACCCCAAGTCCCAGAGGCTCTTTATTTGTGACCTCTTTCTCCCTCTTCAACACAGGCAAAGCAAGAATATGACGATGCCTTAAGCGAAGGCCACCAGGCTTTTCTGCTTGAGAGAGAAGAAAATACCAGTGACATTTTCACATGCAACCTAGGCAATCTTCCTCCTGGTGCAGAGGCCACACTGAAACTGCGCTACGTTCAAGCTCTAGCTGTGGAACCAGATGAAGCCATCCGTTTTGTCCTGCCAGCTGTCCTGAATCCCCGCTATGTTCCTGAAGGTAAGCAACTATATTCCCAAATTCAGCATGGAGACCCCAAAACAAAGCCTCCAATAGGCACCTCCCCTGCCTTCCCTGCTCAATGGTGTCACGCACTGGGACAATTAACTCAGTTTCATCCTAAAAACCAATAGTTGTGGCTTGATTCATACAAGACATGAAGGCATAATGTACGATGCTTGCATAGGAGTCGATGTGTTCTACACAATCTTTGGGGATGTGCAGTTAAGCAGTGTTTCAGTCATATTGTGCAAACACAGCTATAGTTTGCCGTTAGAACAATAAACTCTTGAAGTACAAAGCTTGAGAAGGAAGCATCCTGCCATTGATCCTTTCCATTTAATTTTACCATTTTATTTTTATTCATGGATAGAGCTCAAAATGGTGTGCAGTTACTACACCAGACTTTTGCAAGATGGTGCCCGCCAAATGAGTATAAGAAGGTGCAAAGAATTCAAAGACCTTCAGTTATCACTTCCCATTATTTTCCTTTCCAAATTAAAAAGAAATACTGATATAAAATGCTTTTCGTCCATTTCTATTTTCTTGTCACACCATCTTCACGAAGTAGGCTGGGTTTGCAGGCTGAGAGACTAGGACAAGATAACACATTCTTCAATTTGAGTAGGATTCCTTGTGACTTCATGGACACCTCCTTTTCTTGGCAGGAGTGATTTACCATTGGTTTCTTCCATGATAGCCAGGTAGTAAGCATATCCCTCCCTGCTTAGCTTTGAAGTCCAAGCAAAGCATCTATTGGGATCCAAAATCAGAGTGAGAATTGTGGCCATAACCTGTCTTGGTCCAGCTCAATAATCCCAGCACCACAGTGCCACTTTCTTGTTTCAGGGGGTGTCCTGCTGCCCCCAGATTCAGGCAGCTATCCCCAGGAATCCCTTATCTCTTATCAGGCTCAGAAGGGGGCACCGTTACCCAGCAGATACCACGAGTGTCTACAGAAGCTCTGCCCTACACCCTCAGCCTCAGCGCCAAGGTGGAGTCCCCCTATGGCATCAACTGGGTGGATTCAAAATGCAGTCTTATACAAAATATGTCGGAGGATTGCACTGCTGCCCAGGTAAGGCTGCTTAGGACCTAAAGATTTGGATGGGGAGGAACTTTGGATAAAAAAGTATTTTTCCAGCACCTGCACACTTCATACACCACACCAGTAGAGGTAGCCCTCAACTTATGACACAACTGAGCCCAAAATTTATGTTGCTAAGTGAGAAGTTTGTTAAGTAAGTTTTGTCCCATTTTACGACTTTTTTGCCACATTTGTTAAGTGAATCACTGCAGTTGTTCAATTAGTAAGTGACTAGTAAGTGTTAAATGACTCTGGTTTCTCCATTGACTTTGCTTGTCAGAAGGTTGCAAAAGGTGATCACATGACCCCAGGACACTGCAACCCATCATAAACGTGAGTTGCCAAGCATCCAAATGTAAATCACATGATCCTCAAGATGCTGCAACGATCATAAGTGTGAAAAATGGCCATAAGTCACTTTTTTCAGTGCCATTGTAACTTCAAACAGTCACTAAGTGAACTATGGTAAGTCGAGGACTACCTGTAACCTGTATGAACCTAACAGCCAAATGAAATACAGGATTGTTCACACCACTAGAACTGACTTTTAAAAGAAAAAAACGGGAATAGGATGTGGGATTAAGACTGATGCTGAAAAGCAATGGTGCTACTGCCCCAATAGAGGGCTTTAAATGCATAGGAGCTGCCAGATGCAGTTCCTTTTAGAACTGCTGAAAAAATGTGGTCTGCTGCAAAGTAGAGTTACAGATAATCCTCAACTTAATAACTCTTCATTTAATGATGGTTTATAATTATGATAGCCTAGAAAGGATGCTTTACAGCCGTAAAGCATATCTGGCCATTGCAAAACCCCAGCAGTCATGTGATCACTGTCTAGGTGCATGACAACCTATTCACACTTACAACCAGTTGCCAAGCGCCTTCTAATCATGTAAGTGTCATTTGGAATCTTCTCTACTAGCTTTCCCAGAAAGTCAGTAGTTGTAAGCTGCTGCATCTGCCCAAAGGATTCCCTCTGGTCTATAAATGCTGGCTGAAAGAGCTGCATTCTTGCACCTGATCAAAGGATTTCCCTTTTGTGCATCGAGGTGATCTGAACTCCTTTGGCAAACAGTTCTTTCAGCCAGCCCCCAGAGACGAGAGAGCATCAAAATCTAAGCAGAGAGGCTGAGTGGTAAGGCAAGAAATGTGGGGTGCCTGGTGGATAGGACAGGCTCAGCGCAAGCCTTACACAAATGTCTCTTTCTTCAGGGGCTGAAAATCCTGCTTGAAGTTTGGCAGGAAAGATATTCAGCTCCTGAGCAGAAAAGCAGCTTGATAAGGAAAGGAGTGAAGAGTGCCATGGGCAGGACCAGCACAGGCTGCACACAAGTGTGCTGGGATTGTAGCCAATGAGCAAAGCAGTCATTTGGGGGTCTTGTTCAATGGCTGACATTATGACCTAATTGTGGTCATAAGTCAAGGGCTACTCGTACGTGGTTTCCCAAATAATTATTTGTACATAAATAATGCATATTATTTATTTAGAAATAATGAGTAAATCCCTAACTCACTTGCCTTGATGATGTTATTTATGGCTCCAAGGGCTGACTATACATGGCCAGAAGATTCCCAGGTGCCTGTTCCCCAATCAGGAAGTCTTCGGATATGTTATGCTACCAATCCCATCATTCCCAGAAAGCAAGGCTTATGCAAATGGGAGAACACCGGGTTTTATAAATGGTCTTTCTCGCAAAGAGTAGATGAGCTTTCAAGGATGAACATCCTCTGAAAGTCCTCTTAGAGTGGGCCAAATGGCAAGGGATCTGGGTGATCTGCTCCTATCAGTGCTCCTATCAGAGTTAAAAGGGATCCTCCCTTAATGGAAGACTTAAGGCAAGGCAGCATTTGTAGCATCTTAGAGACTTAGCATAGCATTTACTTTGAGAATTCATGGCTTGGGATCTACAGCAGGGTTAGAATTGCAACCTGCAAGCACTTTGGTTTCACTTATCTTCCCAAAGGTCTCCTTGGCTAAAGGGCACCAATTTGATCGTGATGTGGAACTGCTGATATATTACAAAGATGTTCACAAGACCAGTGCCATTTTAGAGGTTGGGAAATCTGGAACGGCCCCAGGTGAGCAAAGTTTAAGGCAAAGGGGGAAATTTATACCTCTTCACTACAATACTCAGCAATCCCTTTTAGCTTGCCCATCAGTGAAGGATGCAGAGAGATGCAACTCGGCAACATACGGAGGAACACGGGTTCTTCATCTTTGGAATAAGCTATCATGTGACTGAAGTGGAAGTCCTAAGAATTGGAGGAGTCCTGCCATGAGTGAAAATGCCTACTGACTGCTTTTCTTCCTGCAATATATAGGTTCACTGATGGGGGACCCAGCCCTCCTGCTAAGCCTGTACCCCAATATTCTAGCTGCCAAAGCAGGTCAGCATGTTCCTGGAGAGTTTATCTTCCTACTGGATCGCTCTGGCAGCATGGATACCATCGTGGGTACCAGTTTTGGCTCACTATCACGCATCGAGAGCGCTAAGGTACTTTAATTGTGGATAGGTGGATGAATCAATTGGATTGTTGAAGATGGAGAATGAAAAGTGGTCTACGACAGTGGTTCCCAACCTGCTGTCCACGGACCCCTGGAGTCTTGGAGTGTCTATGGCCATGGTTTATGGCCACAAAAGCTATTTAAAGGGGGTCTGTGGTGAAGAAAAGGTTGAGGACCAATGGTCTACAATATTTATAAGCTACATGTATTGCCTGTATAGAATTTCCTCAAAGCTTTCTATGTGCTTATGCTACTGTACATGGTCCTTTCCCTCTGATCTGTTAGACCCTTCTGACTTAATTCTGTGAAGTACAGTGGATTTAGCATCTAGGGAAGATCACAAAGTGAGAGCAGGGATGATAATTGGAGCCCAAATCCCTTTAACCTACATCCAAACACAACAGTTGACTTTGCAAAGGGAGGACTACAGAAAAGTAGAGGTGATATATATGAAAACTGTCATTTTAAGTCTGAAAGGATGTGCTGGGATATCTAAAGTGACTCCAGATGTTTCTCTCTTTCCTCCCCCGTTCCATTTCAGGAGACCTTGATTTTCTTGCTAAAGAGTCTCCCTCTGGGATGTTACTTCAACATCTATGGCTTTGGCTCTACTTATGACTCATTTTACCCGTGAGTATTAAAATATGCCTTTTGTCCATCTTTTTATTTCTTGGTTTCTCCAGCTCCTACTCGTTATTTAAAGTATATTTGGAAAGAATTAAATGGATAATTTGCTTTTAAAAGAAATACAGGCTTAAATAGGAGAAACTCCAAAGTCCTTAAGTTAGGAGTAAAAGAAAAAAAAAATTACACAGTGATGTGTTCTGCATGTGCCACTTCCTTGAAGTCCCTTTTCTTAACTTGAAAATCATATGAAAGCTTTATCATAGACCAGAAGCATGTGGAATTTTGGGATTGTAGGGCCCTACTTCACTTTTGAGAGCCTGCACTCCAAAAAGAAATAATGCGAGCACAAAAACTAAATTTTACTGACATAAAGAAACACTAAGTAAGCAGAGTTTAATTTTTCCCAATGCTTCTAGTAATTTCCTCTTTTATCATGAATTATAATGAAAATTATAATTGGGTGAAAGTTCATAACCTTGAGATCTCCTATTGGGTCCTAAGGAGGTGTTCCCTTGTCTTCTTTGGCCTTCTTGATAGCCATATAGTGCCCTTGGGGTCTCTATACTTCTTAGCATATTAAGGATGATAAATTATGAAGAATGGCTTTGGTCTGGTGTGGTTGTGCTTTAAGGCTATGAAAAGTGAGATGATGAAGAATAGATTCTTGTGGATATGGGAAATATATAAAAAGTTATTTGGGAGAACTTGGTTTAGCTTAGTAATAGCTTTCACCCTCTGGCTCCTTCCACAGGCAGAGTGTTAAGTATACCCAGCAGACCATGGATACATCTGTCCAACGTGTGAAGAAGCTGTGTTGTGACTTGGGAGGCACAGAGATTGTAAAACCCCTGAAGGCCATTTACAGCCAGCCATGCCTTGAAGAACATCCTCGACAGGTATTCAATTCTAATGAGATCTTTCTTTTTACATAGAATCAGGATTTATGCACGAGCACAAAAAGATTTATAGAAAAGCACATAATGCCCATAACTACCAATATAAGGACTCTTAGAAGGAAGCTTTACTTTTATTATATGCTGTAACTGTTACAAGCATAGCCATGGTTTGCAACCTTTCATGGTTTGCAACCAAATAGATTTAGATGAGACCAATTCATATTTTCTAACATACAATTGAGACCTTTAATCCATCAGTAAATATTCATTTTCATTTCTGTATATATAGCTATTCTATAAGACCAAAACTTCACTTAGTTCTATTACATTCTTCTCTTGTTCTTAATTTCACAGATACATTTCTGTTTTTCTTCCATTTATTTCATTAATCTGCATTCTCTATATTTACTACTTTTATATTCTTCCAAATGTAATGATTATCACCTGGTGGGTCCATAAATATTGACCTCCACGGCCCATCATGGCATTAGATCATTAAGGTTTTTGCATGCCATTTTTAATAAGATAGGGAAGATACAAACTAGGTCAGGGATCCCCAACTTGCAGGCCCTAGCCCACTACCGGACCATGGCTTATTCGGAACCAGGCCATGTGAGAAGTGGGCCGGTGCACATACGAATCTCCACTCACACAAGCGGCACCCCAAAGGCTTCTCTCTTGCATGAGTGGAGCTGTGCACATGTGTGCCCACCACTTACGTGGCCCAGTTCCCCTCTCCACCCTAGTCAGGCTGCCAAGCCACCTGCTCCTGATGCTCCAAAAGCGGAGCTGTGAGAGCAGAGGTTGAGTGGGACGAGTATGCCCTGCTCAGCTTCGCTGACTGACTGAGGCTGCCTGAGCAGGACACCCGATTCTCTTTTGGAGCATTGGTGAGTCTGAAGGAGCACGAGACCATGCCCACAAAGTCTTTTCTTCTCCGTGCCAAAAGCTTTTGCAAACAGATGAAAGGCTTCAGGGGGAGTGATCTCACACTACTTCAGGCCTTCCGTCCCTTTGCAAAAGCTTTTGGCTTGCGAAAGCATGAAGGAGCATGAAACCACACCCCAAAGACTTCTCTCTTGCATGAGTAGAGCTGTGTGTGCACGTGCGCAGTAGCCCACCACTCACACGGCCCAGTTCCCCTCTTTCCCCCCCTCCATCCAGACTGCCAAGCTGCAAAAGTTGGGGCCCACTGAACTAGGTTACCAGTATCAGTTATACCAATACTCTATGCAGCATTCTTTATTAATGGTAATACTGTTGATCAGTTTGGGCATATTTTGGTCAATATGCCATCAAGAAAACATCACTACCGAGTGGGGAAGTACTAATAAAGAAAATTATGTATTGCGCAGAACTAGACAGGATAACTAAAAGATTAAAAAATCAGGAAGAAACAGAATTTTATCGAATATGGAATAAATTTTATAGATGGAGGAGAAAAAAATGGAGGTCACAGCAAAGATATAAGTTAAGACAGAGACCAGAAATGTACAGTTGTATATCGATATATTATATGTAATTAATATACAATATGAACTGACAAGACGGAGATGTAAGTCAGACGATTTACCATGTTCAATGTTTTTAATCTTTTTTTCCCTTTGTACCCAATAAAAACTTTTTTTTTAAAAAAGAAAACCACTCCAAATTTGCTTGTGCTATTTTGATCACGTCAAAATTTCTAATCTAGAGACTACTTCGCAAGCCAGCATACAGTTACACAGAACAAAAACAGTAACTATACACAGAGCCAGCAGGTCACCATGTCTAGAACCAAGCCATTTTGGGGGATGTAGAGATTGTTAAGCAAATCTTTGGCTTCATTCCAGTCCTGTTGTCTCTTTGACTAGCCATAGGAAGTTCAAATTAAATTTTTTCTTGCTTGCTTCCAATGTTCTTCTCCCTGCCCTTTAGAATTTTCACTTCAAGTTGCTCTCTATTTCCACAGATCTTTGTGTTCACTGATGGAGAAGTGTCCAATACAAATGAAGTCATTGCTGAAGTTCGACGTAACAGTCACTGCCACAGGTAAGAAAAGGTAAACGTAAAAGTTTCCCTATCACTCGTGTCCAATTCTAGTGCACAGTGCTCATCTTCGTTTCTTGGCTGAGGGAGCCAGCATTGTCCAAAGACAATTTCCATGGTTATGTAGCCAGCATGGCTATATGTCAAAGGCACACAGAACGGGTAAGAAGAGAGGATGAAATTATTTTTTTGATGTTCTTGTCGCTTAGTTTCCATCAGCTTCCGCCCTCTTCCTTCCTCACCAAACAGGTGCTTTTCCTTTGGCATTGGGGAAGGGGCTTCCACATCCCTGGTCAAAGGCATTGCTCGAGCGGCTGGAGGCAGTGCCGAATTCATCACTGGCAAAGAACGTATGCAGGCCAAGGTCAGGACTCTTCCTCTTCACAGGCTTTAGCTTTGGTGCATGTCATTGATATATAGTTCCAGGATTTAGCATCTTCTATGCTGCCACTTAATTATATATCTTTAATATTTCAGCTGCAGTGGCTTAATATCTTTAAGATAAAGTAGAACATGGGTTGTCCAGTATTAACCAAAGTTGCAAGATATAATTCATAGAATCACAGAATGTACTGTTTAGGCTATTCAGTCCAATTCCCTTTTAGAGCAGGTACCCTCATTGAAACATCTTGCTTCACCTCCATTCTGAACACATCAAATGAACCGAAGCCTATCTACTTCTCTAGGTAGTTGATTCCACTGCAGAACTGCTCTTACTATCAGAAAGTTTTGTCTAACTTCAAATCAGAATCTGTCTTCCTGTAATTAAATCCATTATTTCATACCCTGCATTCTGGAATAAAAGATAATGTCTTCTTTGTTTCCTTCATTTAGGAGCTAAGGCAATGTATAAATTTATTTAGATGTTTTAAGGCCACCCAATTCATCACTAATTCTGCAATCCCTTTCAGGTATTTGAAGAGTGCCACTGTATCCCTCCTCAACCATCTTTTCTGAGTTCTAAACATACTCTGCACCTTCAGTCTGCCTTCACAGAGCTTAGATGCTAATTCCCCAATCTTCTTTCCTATCTTCCTCTGAATCTGCTCGGTTCTTTCATTTCTGCTTAAAGAGTAATGGCCAGAACTGGACATAGCATTCAAGGTGGAGTTGTACAAAGCAGAATACAGTTGAATAATTATTTCCAGTGACTTGAAAATTATTCTTCTGCGGTTGCAGCATAAAACTGCATTTACCTTCTTTGCAGCCAAAAGCTACTGTTTATATTCAGTTTTCAGTCAAGTAGTTTTGTTTTGCCGATATTACCAGTCACAGTCCAAAGGACTTACTGTGTCATGAGGTGTGAGAGCAGAATAAAACACTTTGTGTAGTCAGAATTTTGATTGTTTTTGCAGAAGCTATTTTATAATCCCAAAGCTAGAGCAGTGACAACCTTAATATTTTCAAAGTAAATTTTGCCTTTTATTTCTCAGAGGATCCTGAAATTTTATATTGCTTCTTCATAAGATTCCTGTTTCCTGCAGGCTTTGCAAAGTCTGAAGAAGGCCCTTCAGCCAGCAGTGACGGGGATCTCTGTGAACTGGGAGTTGCCTTCTGGCCTTAAGGCCACACTGGTGGGGTCAGGCCCTCAGGTCATTTTCCAAGGTCAGCGCTGCCTCATCTATGCCCAGATCCAGGGGCAACTTCAGGCAAGTGATCCACCTGAGGCCCACCAACCTGAGAAATCCTCCCTCCTGTGGTGTAGACTATACCCTGTGCTGGCTCAGCTAAGGGTATTCAGTTGCGCTCCTTCAGCAGCTCTAATCTAGAGTTGTCCTGATCCTCAGAAAGAATTTCCCTTCTTTTCCCCTTCCTTCCTTTGCAACTTTTGTTTTTATACAGGCGTCAGGCTCCATGGAGGGGGCAGCCGTTGTTCGGTATAATTTCAAAAATGAGACTTCCACAGAAACAACAAAGTTCTCACTCCAACTTGAGAAGACAGACAGGTATACTCAAAGGCTGAGGAAACCCTTTAAAGGAGGCACATGAATGAGTCAGTGGGAGCACATCCAAAATATTTCTCTGAATCCTGGAGCAGATGCCTCTTTTTTCAGATTCGCAGAGTTTCTTCATGACCTACTCCCAGCTATCTCTTCACATACAATGCAGCCGGGAGTAGCTTATGAACCAAAAAAAAGATGAAGCTGTTTTGTTGATTCAAAGAGAGGTGCTTTTCACCTAGCAGAGCCATTTCCTCTTGGAGATGACATGTCCTTTGTATGTTAATGCCAAATGAAAGTAGGACGCCACCACCTTGATCAACTTTATTGCTTAGATGTGTGTGTCATCTCTTGCCCTCTGGATTCACAAACCTTTAGCCAAGGGCCCAGAGATTTGACTAGATTCATGATTGTTCTGGCAGTTTTCATTGTGAAAACATAGTTAAGAACATATTGACTAAAGCCCAACAGCCCAAGCCAATATTAAACAAACCACATGTGTTTACTTCCAAGCTACAGAAGTGCTCTTCCAGGGGAACATTCAGGCTCTGCTTTTTCTCTTTTCAGGGAAGAGACAACAAGGAAAGATCTTTTTTGCGCCAGGTTTTCAGTTTCATTGAGTTAAAATCCAACACAAGCAAGTTAGTCCCTATTAACTTTTTGTTGTATTTACTGTCAGCTGATCCACTGGACAGAAAACCATGATATAAAAGGAGCTGACAATAAATTAAGACTTGGTGTGTGGTGTAATGGTAGCCCTTTCTCTGCCCATCCCTCCCCTTTCTTTGCAGGCTCCCTGTTCACCGTCTTGCAGCTCAGGCGCTATTGAAGGAATTAGAGGAGGACAAGGAGAAGGTTGAAGAAAAGCAGCTCCTGGCACTAGAGACAAGCCTGAGCTCTGGGGTGGTGTGTTCTCAGACAGCTTATGTGGGTGTGAACACAGAGCTGGGCAAGCCGATTCAAGGACCTCTCCTCCACCGAAATGTCCCCTTTCGATGTGAGTTGGGAGCAAAAGACGGCAGATCAGTCCCATGCCTTGAGTGGTCATTGAATCAAATGATGCTCTGATTTGCAGCTGAGCTTTTACAGATAGTCTGGAGTCTTGGCTGGTAGAGCTTCAGTTAAAAAGCCCATCGCTTCCTGGACTTTAGCTGTCCAACAATGGGCAGAGCAAGTAGCAGGTATTGATTGCCAGGTATTGATTGCCAGGTATCATCAACATATCATATTTTTGTAGTGACCTCGCTGGATTGCGGGTTTTTTACTTCCTTCCTGAGCTGTCAGGCTGTTGCTTTTTAATATCTGAATGAGAATCGTTGATTGTAAAATCAAAAGAATGAATACAGTAATGATTTCTTCATTAGGATATCCCCTATTTCCTTCAGAGAAGAAACCATTTCCAGGCATCTTTCTGATTTCTCCTTGTAGGCAGCTGCAACTCTTTCTTGAAAAAGTTACTATCCTTCTGTGGATGGAAGGGCAGCCTTTTAGTAGTTTGGGGTCACAATTTAATGTTTAGTGGTGGTACAAGAATTGGGCAATGATGCACTGTGAATGAAGCTGCATAATATGTCCAAATGCTGCAGATATTCCCCATTTTCCCAGGTTTTGAAACTACAGACGGGTCATTCTAAGAAATGTGTTTGTGCTTGTACCTTCAAGTCAGTATTGATACATGATGACTGCCTCGACAAATCCCGACAGTTTACATCAGAGTTTCAAAATTGGTTTGCTATTGCCCCACCCCTTAGAATTAAGAGAAAGTGGCTAGCTCCAGGTCACCCAGCTGACTTGTGACAAGACTAGAACTCACATCTCCTGGTTTATAGCCATTTAAAAAAAAGTAAGTTGGATAATTCAGACTGCCAGTTGTTGTTGTAGGGGGGGCTTTTCCATATTCCAGCTCAGACTTGCTATCTCATTCACTCTGCATGTGCTGGGGTCTAGGCTAACATCCCTCAACATTTGGCAACCTTAAGATGTGTGGACTTAATCTCACTAGGGAATTCTGGGACTTTCAAGAAGCCCATGCATCTTAAAAGTTGTCAAGGTTGAGAAATACTGATCTAGGCCATTCAGCGGGGAATGGGACACGAAGAGAAGGAAAAATTAATCTTGGCTTATTACAGTTCCTCTTGCAAAATATTTTCCTGTGTTCTGTTTTATTTTGGAATGTCTGCAGGTTTGATGGCAGCACCACTAGCATGCTGCATGGCATCAGGATCAGCACCTAAATATCCATGGGAAAACATCCTCCATAAACGTTCAGGTAACCTCTATGGGCAAGTGTGTATCATAACCAATAAGGTAATTCCTGTTAGTCATTGTGCAAGCAAAAGAAATGCTGTTCTCATTAATTTCCTTTATATTCTGTATGAAGATCAAACATGGGTTGCATTCATTCATAATAAATACAATAAATAAATGTAGAATATTATTTCTGTAAGGTGGTTTTGGGCTATGCTGCAACCTCTCATTTTTGTGAGGCTGGCAGAATTGAGGTGGAAACAACTGTTGGGAGTCCAAAATTGGACCTTTAAGACAATGCCTAACATTTGCAACTCGGAAAGTCTTATTTTTGAAGTTGCAGATAATAAAATGTAAAGTATTGTGATATGGTGGGAGGAATAAACAGGCAGTTTTATGGTTAACAATAATGAGCTCTAGAAACCTGTAGTTCAGTGGCTGATTGAAACAATGAGTTATACTTTAGTGGGGGCAGGGTTCAACCTTGTCAGTTTTAAAATATGTGAACTTCACTTGGCTGGGGAATTCTGGGAGTTGAAATGCATGCATGTTAAAAGTTGTCAAAGTGGAGAAATATTGTACTGATCTAAACCATCCAGAGCTCATGGAGGACTGGAAAGACACAGAGAGAAGGAAACATTCTAAGATGGCAGCGCTTGGATCGGCTGCGCCTGCATTGGCTCTCAAAGGTGAAAAGTTATGGGAGGGATATTAAGGGATATAGGCCACATGATCAGGAAGGTTTTAATGTGTTTGAGCAATGTGTGGAACTAAGGTAACATACAACATACGACTGACAATCTTTGCTGGCATGGCGAGTTTCTAGCTGTTTCGGAACTGTTGGTGAGACCGTTAAAAGTCGTTGGTGCTGTTTGAAATTGTTCTGCCGTCAGCAAGATCTGACTGCTGGCCCAGCGACGGATTCTATTGCAAATAAGGGCTGTTTCCAAAGGAGGCAGAGGAGGAGAGGTCCAGGGGCTTATGGAGCGAAGGAATTGGATGAGGCTGTCGGCAGGCCCAGAGGATGGGAGAGAGGCTTTTGGAGGAGTTGGTGGTAGCAGCAGCGTTCTCCAGGGGCAAAAAGGAGTGAGGCCTCTTTAAGGAAAAGGTGGAAGAGACAAGATCAGAAAAAGGAAAGGAGGCAAGGTTGTTGTGCAGGAATACAAGCTAATTTGAGGGCTAATCCACATGGAGCTCCATTTCCATCTGTCCTGTTTGCCATCGTTCGCTCCCTAGAGACTAAAATGGAAGATCTGTAACTTGAGCTGGCCATGAACAAGGAGTGTATATCGGAGGTGGTGGTCCTTTGAGAGCTGTATGCAACGAAATTTCATTTTGATGTATGCCGATTGGTATACATTCAAAGTGACAATAAAGTTGTTGTTATTTGTTTGTTGTTGTTATTAATTTCGGATTATTACAGCTTTTATTGCAAAAGTTATTTTCCTGTGGTGTTTCATTTTGGAATGTCTACAGCTGCCAAATTAGATGATGCAGCATATTTCGGAGCAATGTCTTCAAGTCAAGTTTTGAGGCAGGCAAGCTCTCAGAGGGCACGTGCTGTACCACAAATGGTAGTTGAAGGTAATACCCCTCATCACTGGAACCCTAACTTTTAAAAAAGTCATTTTCACAAATGTCCATTATATTTTGCATATAAGTCGAATATGGAATGTGGTTTGTGTCAGTAATTACAAAGTGACTTAAATAACAAAAGTGGGAAATGTGTTCATTTATATGACTGTCCAAGCTTGTCAAACCAAATCTGAGTAAACAGTAACATCAATAAGAACAAAATATACATTCCTGCTATCAGCCTCCTGAGATGGGAACATTTAACATCCCAAATGTCCAGAGGGAAAAAACAGATTTTTAGTGTCTTTTGAAACGCTGATAGGGTTGAGGTTAATCAAATCTTGGAGTTGGGGGGGGAATCAATCCAAAATGCAGGTGCTGCACAAAAAAGACACGTTTCTTTGATTCAGCCAGGTGACATTGACACAAAGGGACCTAAAGCATGACTTGTTCACAAGCACAAATGAGAGGGAGATGGGTGGTCCCACAAATCACCTGGCTACCATTTGCGTATCTTTAAATTGTAATGTATCTTCTGATATCCAACCTTTTGCTTTTGTGAGGTTGGTAGAATGGGGTGGAAAAATATGAGGGCTCAACATTGGACCTTTAAGCAGATACCTGGGATTTGTGCCGCACAAAGATTCATATCTGATGTTGCAGATAGTCAAATTTAAAGGGTAAATATAGAGGAGGGATTAAAGAAGCAATTTAATAAGTGTGAGATCTAGAAACCTGTTCCTCAAAATCCTGTTTTTAAATCTCTTCAAGGTTTCATATTAATACAGATAGTCCTCAACTTAGGACCACAATTGAGTGCCCAATTTCTGTTGTTAAATGAAACATTTATTAAGTGAGTTTTGCTCTATTCTACGCCTTTTCTTGCCACAATTGTTAAGTGAATCACTGTAGTTGATAAGTTAATAACCTGGTTGTTAAGTGAATCTGGCTTCACTTTGCTTGTCAGGAGGTCGCAAAAGGGGATCACATGACCTTGGGATGCTGCAATGGTCATAAGTATGAACCAGTTGCCAAGCATCTGAATTTTAATCATATGATCATGGGGATGCTACCAAGGTTGTAACTGTAAAAAATAGTCAAAAGTCACTTTTTTCAGTGCTGTTGTAACTTTGAATGGTCACTAAATGATCTGTTGTAAGTCGAGGATTATCTGTAGCCAGATAACACAAAAAGGATCTTATTCCCTTGTTCCAACTCTAGTTAATGAATCTAAAATGTAACACCTGAATTAACAGACATCATTGTTTTCCTTCTCTGCCTCAACTCAAAAATAAAATAAAAATAAATATCAGATTGGATTCATTCTTTTATTTAAAACCTATTTGGTTTTATTGAAACCTGATTTCATTTTATTAAGAATAGTCTCTTTGGTAAAAAGTTAAGAAATTGGAGAGCAAATGAATATTTTGGATAAGGGTAAATTTGAAAGTGAAAAGGTGACGGTATTTATGAGATGAATTTTTGCCTCTGTATTTAGCTCAAAAATCACTCCTTCCAGCAAAAGATACAAAGAGGCAAGTTGACACATTCAATGTAAAGAAACCAGCTAAGAGGAAATTGAAGGTAAACCTTGGTGGGTTCTGAACATCTGAGATACTGAGATCCCCTTTTTCGCCAATTTAGGAAGCAGAACCAAGGAAGAAGAATCTCCTCTTTTGAAGTTGGTATCCCTGCAGAATGCAGATGGCTCCTGGCCTCATGGGCCTACCCTAGCCACCATACTAGACCTCAGTGAAGCTGAAATCTCAAGCAAAGCACCAGCCAATGTAAGTTTTTGTAAATTTTTCATAATGAACTAGAAAAGCTTTATTCATTTATTATTGTCTATCGGTAGAAAAAGCTTTCTTGAGTCCATGTTCAGCTAATTTGAGGGAAAGAAGTACAGAATTAAAATCATGGAAGCATTCTAGAACCCTCCAGGTGCAGTGGGCATCAAATCACCCATTGCAGGACTGAAGCAAGAAGTTGTGAGAGTTGTATTCCAGAAAGTCCAAAGGATAACAAATTCAGAGTTCAGATTGAACCAACTGTTACTAAAAAAAAAAGCTTTGTGACATTAATAGAAGGTAAGCAGGCATTTTTAAGAACACAGGAGCTGTCAAAGTAGGTGGGAAGACAGGCCAATGCATGTTTACCCTGCCTTTAATCCTTCATTTTGCCATGATGGGAGATGGAAGGGTACAGCCATCTTATGTTGCTCTTCCCATAAAAACATTTTAACATCTTCAATATTTCATACATATTATGGAACATTTAGCTCACTCAACAAAGCTATCTCAGCATTAAGACATCAAGTGGACTAGGACACTGGAGATGGTTGACAATAAAAGGGAGAGATGTCTTAACTGAATTTCACTCCATGAAAAACAGAGTCTTAATTATTGTTAATGAAAACCATGGTATCCATTACCTACTTCAATCTATTGTTTTGAATTCTGGATAATAGCTAGCTTGTATTTCTGACTTAGTTACTGAATAATTATTTTTAGCCATCATTTGAAAAAAATATTTTGCACATCTCTATAGGAATAACATGTAAGGCTCATTCAGCATCTTTTCCCCACCATTGCTTTCAGGTGGCCTCAGATATATGGGCAACAGTGCTGGCTGTTCTCTGGCTTCATTTGAATGCTGCAGAGCAGAAAGATGAATGGGAACTGCTGGAAGGAAAAGCTGTCCATTGGCTCCAAGTGAACGCAGGTGAGGTACTGAAAGCAGCTTGTCAAGGGAAAACAATGTAAGGATAAGAAATAGTAGTGTGTGGCAGTCTTTAATCTACCTTGGGTGATCATGGAAACAGCTGATCAATTCCAGACCTTGTTAGTACTTGGAGACCACAGGAAATCATGGGACTGCTGCCTAGACTGAGAAGTTGAAGAAACATCTCAAAAGAAGGCAGTAGCATCAATTCTATATTATTGCCAAGAAGGCTACCTTGAAATGTCCATGAGGTAACCAGGAATTTGATTCAAGGGAATCTTTGTTTTATGGAAAAAGAGATTTGGTGAATGAAATTCCAGCAGCAGTACTACTTAATGCCACCCTTCTTGCTGATTCTAGTTTTTGAAGTATTTTTTGGTAGATCAGTTCCTTAGAATTCCCCAGCCATAATAATAGCCATTGCTGAGATTTCTGGGAGTTGACTTCCTGAAGTTTAAATGGCATCCAAATTCATGTGAACTGTCTTTTGGACACTGGAAGATGTGCTGAATGCTATATTGTTTAAATTGAAGTGGATGTTGCTTGAGCAATCCTGATTCTTGACTATTCATTTACAGGAGATCAACTGGCTAAGTGTGTGAAGGCTGGTAATGCAGTTCTGGGAGGTAGGGTCAGCCCCCAGGTATTCGGGCTCTGAGTTTACAGCGTCGTCCTATGCCTGAAACTGGAACATCTGCATCTATTCTGCTTCTATTCTTGGTGAAATGTAACCTGCTGCAACCCCATAACAATCCATTAGGTCCTGAAAGTACCAGTGCCTTGCTTACAAACTCACTAAGTTCTAATGCATCACAAATTGCTTTATTGGTGCATTGATATAGACACATTCTAGGTATAAATGTAGCAATAGCAATAGCGTTTAGGCTTATATAGCATCCCATAGCATTTTATAGCACTCTCTGGGAGGTTTACAATGTTGAAACATTATTTGCATATTGCTCCCAAAAATCTGGGTCCTCAATTAACCGAGCCCCATCATCAGGATTGAATTCCAGGCTGAGGGCAGAGTTTGCCTACAATACTGCATTCTAAACACTATGCCACCAATATTTGTTCCATGATACATAAATATATAGATTATCATTGCTTGTTAGAATGAAATGAAAGAATGAAAATTAAAGCTGACATCTACCACCCTAATATTTCTGTTTTAATTTGCAATCTAAAGTTTATATCAAGACCTCGGACTGTAAATCTGTATGCATCTTCCACTAATTAAAAATTAGGGATGCATTCCTAATCCCAGCAAAGCCCAAAATAGATTTGCATAATAAATGAAATTTTCATTGATCTGAAAGAGCAATAAAGGATTAAACACTCTAGTTAAGAATGAAAACCCCAGATCAGTATTAAGCTCAGATAATGTTTATGGTTGTAAATTTCATTATGCTAGTGGTATAAAATAATGGAGGGGATGCTTACAAAAAATTAAAAGCCACTTTGATGTAGTGATTAAGGCATCAAGCAGAAATTAGGAGGTTGTGAATCTTGCTTTAGGCATAAAGCCATCTGGGTGACTTTGGGCTAGTCACACTCTTTTAGTCTTAAGAAGCACCTAATGGTAAACCATTGCTGAAAAACCTTACCAAAACAAACAAACAGCAGGGTCTACTCCAGCCTTCACGAAAAGTCAACATTAACTCAAAAGCATACACATACTTAGAAATACAAGCTTCTCTCACTATTTTTATAACTTTATTTAATAAATCATAAATATATTAATAAAGTTTGGAAATAGAAACAGTAAGTTTAAAATAGTTTTAAAATGTTGAATTATGCAATCACTTGGAGTTTATCAATATATAAAGAATTTTGAATTTATTGAAGTATTCCAAAGGTGATTACTTTCTTATACCATCCCAGACATACAGTCTTGGATAGATGGTACATATTCATACTGTTTATATAATGAATAGAATAACTATTCTGCATAAAGATTTAATGCTGTTTTAAAACTGCCCTTTGTTTTTATCTTGGATATAAATGTGATTTTACTTTTTGGTCAGGTACTTATTGTGGGGGCACTAGTTATCCCCAGTGTAATAGATTACTGAGGGAGTTAAATTAATGAAGCTTCTAAGACACATTAATGGTATACTGTCCTAAAGGTGCTTTTTCAACAGGCAACTTGGACTTTTTTGTTTTTCCTTTGAAGATGTTTTGCTTCTCATCTGAGACGTTTCTTCAGCTTTGACTGGATGGTGGAGCTGAAGAAGCTTCTTGGATGAGAAGCAAAACATCTTCAAAGAAAAACAAGTAAGTCTAGTTGCCTCTTGAAAAAGCACCTTTGGAACAACTGTGACCTGGATGACAGAGAATCTCCATGGACATTAATGGTCTACTATTTGACAAAGTATGCTACATAGACCCTTGAATCAAATATTTTTCCTAAACAAATGAGTTTTCTAAGGCACACACAAATGAATAACATTCATACTCGAATTGTCAAGATAAAGCCTGTAAATCTCAGCAGATGGCAGCCTCTCTCCAATTTTGCCTGAGCTAGGAAGATAAGCAGAATAAGACCTTATTAAATAGAAGGCCACATAAGCTTAGGTCAAGGATATCAATCAACAAGACCTTCTCCCACTGTGTTAGTCTTCTTTAACATGATCCAGCTCAGATTTCCTCCCAGATTAAATCATTTTAAATAGGCTCCTACACATAGTCCTTGGTTTATGACAATTGTCCCCAAAATTTGTTGTTAAATGAGACATTTGCTATGAGTTTTTCCCCATTTTACGACCTTTCTAGCTGCAGTTAAGTGAATCATTGCAGTTGTTAAGTTAGTAGCAGTTGTTAAATGAATCTGCCTTCTCCAGCGACTTTGCATGTCAGGTCACAAAATCTGTTCACATGATCCTGTTCATAAATATGAACCATTTGCCAAGCATCCAAATTTTGATCACATGACCATGGGGATGCTGCAACAGTCATGTCAAAAATAGTCATAAGTCACTTTTTTCAGTGTTGTTGCAACTTTGAATGGTCACTGTACAAACTGTTCTAAGTCGAGGACTACCTGTATGTGCAAATAATGGAATCCAACGCAATATTTTTGAAATCTCAGATTATATGAGTAACAATTAGACTTTTGTGACATACTGTATAAGGACAGTAACTGGGTAATAATTACATTTTAAAAAATGAAAAATTACCTAAAAGTGCTCTGGTGTAAAGGAAATGAATAGCTACAAAAATGAAAATATTCTGGTAAGAGAGTTAGCAGTGCTTCTCCAAAGATTATATTCTACAACCCATTAGTTCACATGATCAGTAGATTGCAGCAAAAATGAGATTTCTGTTTGCTTGTGTTGCCATCTAGTAGTCATTCAGATTTTTGCAAGTCAGATCTTTATAATCCTGTACTTGGATGATTAGAGTTTATCAGATTTTACTCCATAACAACAGATCTTACTAAATCTACAGCTTTAGAGATTGTTGAGGGAAAAAAATCCCATTCAAATCTTGTCTTAGCCAGAATTCACCCAGTTGTATTAGGTAAAGTCCTGATTTTAGACCTCCACTTTTAATAGAAATGCTAAGCTACCTTAAAAAGTTGCAGTAAGATCTGCTGAGATAGCATGAAAGTTACTGGAATTGATTTTTATTTCAACTGTTTTCACCTCATTCTCACAATACCTTAGATGGCATTTTGAGTGTGCTGAAATTGTTTTTCTTATACATCTCTCAATAACTCTGCAGTGTCCTCGGATACCTAGGCTCTGTAACTAAACAAGTCCTGTGGGAGATGTTTCCACACCATTTTCTCCTCTGGGATTTCACCAAAGCAAGAAAGGTTGCAAACCCTTAGGAAAACAAGAAATTAAAAGCCAGACATTCACACACATTTATCAATCACTTCAATTACTTCAGTAGAAGAATCTCATGCCCCACTCAATATTACTAAGCACGAATTGAAATCATGGATTGAATTGGCCAGTGTGTGGCCAGTGGATATTAAGGGATATAGTACAGTGTAATTTTACCTTTTAACATCTTCCTACAAATACACTTGGGGAGAAAGATTACATTGGACTTATCATAGTCCATTTTCTACACTGGTGACATGGCATTCAAGAACAGATTGTCTCCTACAAAATTGGGGTGGGGCTTGCAAAGTATTTATTTAACTCACAAAGCACTAGGATATGCATGATTCTAGGTGATACATACAATTCAATGTAATTGACTATCTCCATACTGAGAAAAACAATTCAAAGAATTGTTTAGAAGAATAAAGAGATATGTACTAAATCATTCTAGAACCCAAAGCCCCCCTGAAATAAAGTCATTTTTATTGCCATTCATTGTCAAGGAAAGTAAGAGAAAAGTACCCGAGTGAAATATGCTTCATTATTTATTAAATTTATACGGTCATCTCCCAAGATGTTACTCTAGAAAGTGTGCAGCAAAATAAAGAAATATAATTATAAAGATATTGAACACAGACATAAACACATACATACAATTTGATTAGCAATGAGCCCCCTCAAGGTATCAGTGGTCCCCTGAGAAACCAAAGCCTGATGACAAAGCCAAGTCTTCAGAGACTTCTGGGAAATGAGGGGTGAAGGGGGGGGGAATATTCCATAATGCATGCACCATTACTGACAACTCTTGTCATCTGGTCCAAGCCACTTTAATTTCCAATTGGAGGGAACTTTGAGGAGCCTCCCTCCCCCCCAAAGTTCAAAGTAGAAAGGCAGAATCTTGCTTGGCAAGGCATTTCCTGGTATCTCCAGGAAATTTATAGGTGATCAGCATTTTGAAGTGGGCCCAGCAGCCTACAGATAATTATTCTACTTCCCACAAAACAAGACAGCCTCTTCCCAAGTTTCTGATTGACAAGCTGGAAAAAGAATTCAAGAAAGGTAAGAGTAAAGAATAGAATTGTATGAATTCTATACAAGCAGCTACAAATATTGGTGGGGTCCCAAGCTTCTTCTCTCATGTCCAGTACTTCCTGAATAAACTGGTATCTTGTCTCCATTGTAAAAAGTAATCTTTCTTGTAGGGCTGTTGATATATAGATAAGCAGTATATATCTACAGAGAAAATATAAAGAAAGTCATTATTTGGGTACAGGTCTTGTACCTCTATATAAACTGGTTATCAATATACTAATTCAGCGCACCCTTTCCAGTTTATAACTTTGCATACCATTATCTCTTATATTTTATGACACAGACCTGCTCCTTCAGGAAATGCTGTAAGTTGGGAGGGCAAAAATGATCCACAAAATTACAAGGGGAGCTAGGTTTAGGTTAATAATATTTTTCATAGAGGCCCTAGCCTGTTATGAGAACTGAAACACTGGCTTTTAAAGAAGATAATTTGCTTGCTGAGCAAAGATAAAAGAGAAAAATCAATATTGTGTGAAGTAGTTGCCTTCCTAAAACAGGACACTCAATAGGATGTCCTTCCAAAGTTTCAAACTGCAGCTCCTATCATCCCAGGTCAGTAGCTGGGACTTAGGGGAGATATGTTCTAAAATAGGGGTCCCCAACCCCCAGTCCGTGGACCGGCTCTGGTCCACAGCATGCCAGAAACCGGTCTGCGCAAACAAGCAAAGCCCCATCTGTAGGATCAGGCAGTACATGAAATCAGGCCCCCTCCGGTCCACAGAAAAACCTCTCTCCATAGAACCGGTCCCTGGTGCTCAAAAGGCTAGGGACCTCTGTTCTAAAACATCCAGAGGCACCATGGTTCATGAGAAGTAGGTTTTTTTTCCTACTAATGCTATTCCCTCTCTCCTGGAAATCCTGCCGCCTCTTATGAAAGATATCCAAAATAAATCAGATGGCTGCAATTAATTTCTTCACTTCCTCAAAAATCACTTCCTCCACCCATATGCAAACAATCAGGAAAGAAAACTGCTTCTGAGCTGAACAAACTACAGGACACTGATCTTGGACTTCTTTTTATTATCAGAGAATTGAGGGTCCAAACAAATAATTTCTGGCCCAAAATACATTATCAGAGAGTCCTTTGAAGTTGATGGCTTTTCTTCCAGGATTATTTCTTCTTTTTCCACTTTGTAGTCCAAACTATAATGGCTGGATTTCCAATGCCTATTCTACTACTACTCATCGAGCCAAACTCTACTTAGCTTTTCTGAGATCAGCCAAGATCAACTAGGCACTGTCAATCTGCCATTAAACCTGCTCTTAAAGGTACAGCGACAGATTAAATTTGAAAAATGGCCATCTTAAAAACAAAGAAACAAAAATCCTTTAAGGGAAGATTCCCTAAAACAGAATTCCACAGCATTTAGGAAAATCAACTGTCTAATAGAAATACTCAGGCTTTTTGGATGAAACATAAAAAGGGGTACAACAAAAGCAAGGAGTGGGTAACAAACCTCTTTAACAGGTCCAACCAGGCTTCTCACAGCAAGCTAAAAATGGCGTTAGCCTTTTCGGGGTGCAACCTCAGGGTTATGTGAACCGAGCTCGGTTCACAGATTAGTTTATTAGTGTGCTACACAAACACGAGGCAACCTGCATAAACTTAGTATGCGAATTATATTCCAATTTATATTTCCAACATGCACAATAACAGTATAATCAAGTATTGTAGCTAATCCCTACTGTCTTCTTCCAAGACGCCTCTTTCCGATGCCCTCACCAAAATTCACTCTTAAAAACTCTTACACCCGAATCCTCTTAAGAGGATTCCCTAACGAGACGGACGGATCTAGGACCCTGAAGGCGCTGCCCCTTTCACTCGTTGTCACCTTACTTTCCACTGTGAAGATTTGCTCGCAGCACCGGGAGCTGCTTTTTTGCACAGAAAGTCTCAGTGCTAGCAATAAATGAATAAGCACCCGAGGGTAGAAAAAAGAAAAGGGGGGGGGGGAAACTCCCAGCATTTCCAAAATACCTTCCCGTTGCAATGCATCACTGCAGTCAATTTCTACATTTTTTGGGATGATTAGGGGGAAGGACTTCCCGGG